AAAGCTCCACGTGGCGGCTTCGCATTGGGGCTTGAGATGCTTTATTAAGGCTGGGAGGGGCATCCTAGGGATTAGTAGAAGAAATATCAAGGGCCTGAATAAACCGCTGAAAGAAGATTCCCGAGTTTCGTCTTCCTTGCGGGCAAGGGGTCGCGACAACCTTTCAACCAAAAATGCCATGCATCATTCTTACTTGGCTATGGCTCTCAGCAAATGGAAAGCCCTCCTATGTTCAGAGTTAGAAAAAATCAATATTGTTAAAATGGCCACGTTACCAAGCAATCTACAAGAGTCAATGCAATACTCATCAAAATATAGTTCTGAGAAGAACTGAAAATAACAGTTCTACAATCTGTGTGGAAGTACAAGAGACTCAGAATAGCCAATGCAACTCAGATGCAGAATAACCAAAGCAGAGTAGAGCTGGAGGCATCACAATACTCAATATTGAAATACTGAAATCCTTCAGGATTTAGATAACACGGATCAATTTGTCTAATTATGAGATTTTTGCATTGAACCTCCAAGGTCATATGAATGTCAATTATCAGCCTGTAGCCCTTCAGCTTGATCTATTTGATCCACTGGCCTCCATGATCATGTTTCTTCCTTCCAAGGTTCTGCATCAGGAAGCTCCTGTGTGAGACTGAATTGATAGCAATCTTAGGGACTGAGCAGGCACTCAATGGGCTCCAAGCAGGAGAGGGGCGTTCGATCTGTGTTTTTTTAGTTATAACCCAGCAGAGATGCACCATACACTAGTGAATTCTGAAGTAGACATTGGATGGAGGAAAGTCCAGTAGAAATATTTCCCCTCCTCAGGTCAAACATCACACTTTGACTAGCTAAACTGGACAGTCAGGAAACTAGCTGTGCAGGTTAAAAATCTAAGTCAGGAAAACAGTTGTAAAAGCTTGAAACTCTTTGTTACTGGGATAATAATCCAGAGCCCAGAGCCCATTTGTTTGCCTTCCCCTCCAGGATACTGGGAAAGGAGGAAAGACCAGAGAGGGCACAAGGCACTTTGTTTGCCTTTTCTCTCCCAGGACCCATTGTCCTCTCTCAGTCCTGGGGGTTGTCATTTCCCTTTTCTAAGGAGATGTTGTTTTCCATATTCTTCACTTATACAGAGAATTAACCCTTTAAAGATCCTGTTCCCAAAGCTCATGTCTACCTAGAACCACCACCATGTTCCTTGGCATATAAATTTCCACTTATCTGTGCTGTATTCAGAATTGAGTCCAGTTCTATACTGAAGTCTCTACTCCCCTACTGCAATTGTCCTAAATAAAATTTGTTCTGGGGTAGGGGTGTAGCTTAGTGGTAGAACCCTTGCCTAGCATGTGCAACACACTGGTCCGATCCCTAGCATTGAAAAAAAAAATTCTTTACCACTTTGTAAGGGTGAAGCAGACCAGTTACCCCCATCCAAAAGACCTTGCCACAATTAAGCTTTTTTCCTTGTCAGAGAGAATTTTTCAAAGGGTATCAATAGGATATCAGCAAAAATTTCTGTGGGTTGTAGCTTCCTCTTTCTTATAAATGCCAGGTTTGCAGACAAAATTTGTGAAACCTCTGTCTAGCCTAAAAATGTGGGACAAAGAGTAACTGTTTTGTACCCACCCAGTGACATGTAACCACCCCACTGAGTATAAGTCTAAAAGAATTTTCAGATTCAGGGTCCAAAGCGTTTTAGGCATTAGCATCCTCTGGACTTCTGAAGCTAAAATAAACCTGATTTCTGGTGTCCAGCCACATCTGTCCTATATCAAGGGGACAGACAGATTTAGATGTAAGGTGTAAGGGGACAAATAGATGGAGATGGTGGGAACACTAGGTTAAGAGAATAATTCTATAAATGAGTTCACTGTACTGATTCTCCACATGCTTTCTTTGCTAAAAAGCAATCTGCCTTCAGCCCTACCTGGCCTTGGGGGAAAGGAAAATCATATTTTTTGCTTTTTTTTGGCTATACCTTTTGTTTCTTAATCTATTCTTTAGGTTTGGACGGGAGTGTCTGCTTCTTACAGACATGACATCATAAATTAAGTTGGAGTAAACTATTATGAACTTAATAGTTTCATACACATTGGATAATATTTATCAAAACTACTGATAAAATGTCTTCACAAAGCAGATTCAAAACAGGAGTTAATAAAAGCCACAAACTGCAGCTAACATGGGAACCTTGGTGATTATTATTAACCAAGACATGAATACCTTATTTCTT